TTCAGCCATTTTAGATTCCTCTGTTGAGAGTTCTCTGTTTAGGTCTGGACTCCATTTTTTTATTGGATTATGTGATCTTTTGGTGTCCAATTTCTTGAGTTCTTTGTATATTTTGGAGATCAGACCTCTGTCTGATGTGGGGTTAGTAAAGATCTTTTCCCATTCTGTAGGCTGTCGTTTTGTCTTGTTGACTGTGTCCTTTGCTTTACAGAAGCTTTTCAGTTTCAGGAGGTCCCATTTATTAATAGTTTTTCTCAGTGTCTGTGTTGCTGGGGTTATATTTAGGAAGTGGTTCCCTGTGCCAATGCGTTCAAGTGTACTTCCCACTTTCTCTTCTATAAGGTTCAGTGTGGCTGGCTTTATGCTGAGGTCTTTGATCCATTTGGACTTGGGTTTTGTGCATGGTGACAGATATGGGTCTGTTTTCACTCTTCTACACCAACACTACTCTTTGAGTTCCAGGCCAGCCTAGGCTACAGGAGCCCTGCTCCCATGTTTTCATTTTTAGACTGGGCCTGGTCCCCTCCTGTCTAACTTGCTGGATTGGAAGGCTGAGCCTGTAGCTGCAGGCCGTTCCTGCCATGGCCAGAAAGAAACCAGCCAGGCAAGATGCAGAGCTAGTAGGGGCCATCAGCACTTGCTATGGCAACACAAGTCCTGGGTTCAGCCAGGCCGGAACTCCTTCCCTGTATATGGAAAGTTTCTGCAGCATTTCCAAAGGATTGCTTTGCATTTCATTCAAATGGAGTCTTGAGGGCACAAAGTGCAGGTTCTTAGGACTCCGGACAGTCACTTCCTGTGCTTGCTTCAGCTTCCAGGATGTGGGGTGTAGCCCTGCAGTACGTTCTAGGCCCCGCACTCTGGAGATGAGAACTCCCCTCCAGGGAAGAAGTGATGCTCAGAACCAAGTGCAGCCTGAAGACTCCACAGTGACTCTCTGGCTCCATACCATCCATGGCTTCCTATAGCCATAGGATACATCCAGGTCCAACCACCCAAGTCCAGGTCCTTCCTGTTTGCATCTTCATGTCAGCCCTGCCCCACAGCAACTCTCCCCTGCTATAAGGAATCCAATCTTAAAACAAAAAGGTTTATTTTAAATTATCTGTATATGTCAATCTGTGGGTAGGTATATTACATATCCACGTGGACACCCAAAAAAGGCCAGAAGAGGACGCCAGAACGTCTGAAGCAGGAGTTACAGGCAGCTGTGAGCTGCCACATGTGAGTTCTGGGAACTGAACTCCAGTCCTCTGTAAAAACTGTATACATGTGTTGTTAATCAGAGCCGTCTCTCCAGCCCAAGGGAATCATGCAGCCCGGGCTGTGACCTTGGTGACAATGGTGAAGTCTGAGTCAGCTGAAATGGGTCACAATGTCGCCAGTCGTCCCTTTTTCTAGACATTGACTCCCTGGAGATGGAGTGAAGGTCCAGCCTGCAGCGTCTGCACCAGTGTGCTCTTCTGTTTGCTACAGCAACAAAGCGGCGAGCTGTGTTTTCCATTCTATTCTCTGGCAGTTCTGAGGACAAATCCCAGAGTTCTGCTGTACTGAATCCAGTTTGTCTGGGCTCTTTTTTTTGGGGGGGGGGGCTCTTAGAGTGATTTCTACCACATTTACTTGTGTGTGTGTACGTGGGTGCATATGTCAAAGTGCGTGTGTTTGTAGAGGACAGAGAACAACCTGGATCCCTCTTTTCACCAAGGAGATTCTGGATATTGAACTCAGGCCATGAGGTTGGTAACCCTTAACCCAAAGAACCATTTTACTGGCCTCAGTTTTGGCATCTTTTTGTTTTTTCAGCATGGAGGATTGAGGCCATATAAATAAACGTGCCCTACCTCTGAGCATCGCCCTCAGCCCCTCAAGGGGAATTCTAGCGGGGCTCCACCCCGACCACGCCCCCAGCCCTCACTGGGGAGTTTATGCATGGCTCCACCCCAGATGGCCAAGCCTCCAGACCTTCATCTTGAATTCTAGGCAGGTGCTCCACCCCTAAACAGTGGTCCCTAGATCCTCACTGGTGTTTCTGGGAGACGGGACCCTCTAAACCATGCCCTTGGCTCTTTGGTTTTTATTTTAACACATGGTTTTACTAAGTTGTCCAGGTTGGACTAGAGCTCACTCTAGAGACTCTAGACTGGCCTTGAACTTGTGATGCTCCTGAGTCACTGTCTCCTGGAGCTAGGATGACTTGTCCTCCGAATACAGTAATTGAACAGGAACCTCCAGAATTCATCTCAAAGGCACTGTTGCTTAATGGGGTGGGGTGTTGAGCAGCTGAGCTGTGTGCTAAGCCTACAGCCAGAGGCTAGGGAGAGCTGGGTGAGGAGTTAGAGCACAGGGAGCTGAGTGAGGAGTTAGAGCACAGGGAGAGCTGGGTGAGGAGTACAGGGAGAGCTGGGTGAGGAGTTAGAGCACAGGGAGCTGGGTGAGGAGTTAGAGCACAGGGAGCTGGGTGAGGAGCACAGGGAGAGCTGGGTGAGGAGCACAGGGAGCTGGGTGAGGAGCACAGGGAGAGCTGGGTGAGGAGTACAGGGAGAGCTGGGTGAGGAGTTAGAGCCACAGAAAAGGCTTTAGTTTTCTCGGAGGGGGACATTCATCACATAGCTAAGTCAAGCTTAAGGAGGAAGCCTGCCTCTGCACATGACTCCTCAGGAACACACAGCTTCCATCTTGGGCTCCATGTCTGAAGAAGGAAGAGACTCTTGCAATGAGGTTCACAGGCCCAGGCTCTGCTCCCCACTGTAGAACTTTGGAAATCTTCCCCTTCAGGGGTCAAGGACCTAGGAAGTGCCTGTGCCTCTTGTTGATCAGTGGGACTGAACCCTAGCGGGTCATCGGAAGCCTCACGATATAGATGACGCCCTCCTTCCCAATCTGTTTCACCAGCCATAAAAGGCACACAGCCATCTGTTTACCAGTGGACCACCTCAGGCCACAGCTCCCAGGGCTGCTGGATTCTGATCACTAGGTCTCACCTGCAGTACAGGACTGGATGTGGACCTGGGTGGCCAGTGGCAAGCAGCAAATACAGGGGAATGAGGTTCCTGGAAGGTAAGCTCGCTCATGGTTCTGAGAAAGGTTAAACGATCTGCTCAAAGCCAAACAGCAATGGCCTGGTGGGAGGTCAACTCATGCCCACTGCCCAGTAACTTTATCAACTACCCTAAGCTGCCCCGTGGAGGGTATCTCCAATGAACGTCGTTGTGTTTAAACGACTCTGGGACTGCTTTGAAGTCTCTGCAGGACCACCAGACTTGTCCCACTGATGTGCCCCATGCGCCCTCTGGTGGTCAACACCGGAATGAATGGAATCGTGGACAGAAAGATGGCTGGCTAGTGAGCAGGTTGAATGTCCCCTTTTTTTATAAGAATCCCAACTCCATGCAACTCCTATCCTTTCCTCAAAACTATGGTTCCAATGCACCCTCCTGGCTCTCAGGAAGCCCTTTTTGTGCCGTCATACACATCCAAGGTCGGTCTGGAATCCTATTCCTTCCCCTAACCTCACGGTGTTGGGGTGTTTGTATGCATTTCGTAGATGCTTGATGAATGCTGAGTGAATAAGAAAATAAACACAGGAACTAGCTTCAGGAATATTCTTGGCCTACCCTAAAAGATGACGCAGGTTTCATCCTCTCTTCAAGGGTCCCACAGACAGACGGGCTGCCTTCAAGTTAGAGGTTCTTCCTTTGACCAGAGAATAGGTTCCTTCGCATCCATATCTCGATTGTTTGTGGGACGCCTGATGTGCACCACCCAGACATAATACTCCTTTCTGCCTGGCGTTGTCAGTTTATCAGGTGCACATAATTGTATGGAGGAGGGCTGTGGAGACCACGAGAGAAGGCGATATTGGAGCCGAGACTTGGACATGAGAAAGAAGAACGCACTGGGAATTCTGGGGGACTGTGCACTCGGAGATACACAGACAGTGCGAATAAATGCCCGGAGTCGCCTCCGTGCTTGCCTGGTGGAAGGAAAAGAGGGCTTGGCAGATCGAGAAGAGGAGCAGCCTCCTAGGCCCCGCCCATCAGCCTCCTCCAGGGGAGAGCGGTTGCCTAGGCGACTAAGCCCCGCCCCTCAAGCGACTAGGCTTCTCGCGGCTGTACCTGGCTTTCCGAGGGCTCTCCATCCAATCCTGGTTGCCACAGAAACTCAACCCTGTTGACTACAGCCCCTCTCCCGAGCTAGTCACCCGCTTTCAGGCTCCGCCTCAACCTCCCAGCCCGGTTGCCAAGGAGACGGCCCTGACCGACGCCGACCACGCCCCGAGCACCTAAGCCCGCCTCCAACCGGCCCAGTTTGCTAGCCGAGTACCCAAGGAGTTGATTCCGGAAGCTTGAAGCTTTGGCTCCACTCCAAGCTCCTAGGCTGTTTCCACGATTGGTCCGGTCTCCGATCCTCCTTACCAGGGAACCCTGGCCCCGCCCTGCACAGGCTCAGTCCAGTTGCTTACAGGTTACAACCGTACCCCACGTTGCCAAGGAGACAGCGGGCAGCCCCTTGCTCTCGGCGGCTTCCACGAGGCCCCGCCCCACCCAGGTTACCAAGAAGCGTCTCCTCCCCAAGTAACTCCTCCGCTCGCTTGTCCCCCATCCCTGACTTCTCCCTGCATCCAAAGCCTCGCTTCACCTACGAAAGTCGTTGTCAAAAAGACCCGCCTTCGCGCCGTTCCGTAATTTCCGAGCTCTCCAAGCATGACTCCGCCCCTACTCCCGTTGCCGAGGCCTCTCGGCTCCGCCCACTCCGGATAGGCCCCGCCCCCAAGATGCTCTGCAGTCCCGTTACTGCCCAACTCCGCCCCGGTTGCCAAGGAGACTAGGCTCGGCCGCCTGGTCGGGAGGCTCCGCCCCTCTCGCTCGTCTCGGGTCCCCGACTTCCGGACGTAGCTAGTTTGTTCTAGTGCGGCCACCGTCCTCCACGAGTCTGCCACCACCCCCCTCTACAGCGCGTCGCTCGCGTCCCTCCACGAGCCCCACGCCTGAACGTGCGTGCCGTGCGTGCTATGCGTGAGCGTGCGCGGGCGCGTCGGCCGGCGAGGGAGCAGCAAACGGCCGGCGGCGGGCGCCGCGCGGGGGGCGGGCGACGCGGAGGCGGCGGTGGCCATGGCCGAGGCATCGCCGCAGCCCGGACGGTACTTCTGCCACTGCTGTTCGGTGGAGATCGTGCCTCGCCTGCCGGTGAGGTCCGGACGGGAGGGCGGCGGGGCTGTGCGCGCGAGGCGGGCTAGAGGGGAAGCCGAGACCCGGCGGTGTGCGAGCAGCGTGGCGGGCAGGGCCGAGGACCCAGGGCTGCGGCGGGGGTCCCTCGGGGGGACGTGTGGCGTTGGTCGGACTCGGCGGGGATCGGGAAGTTGAGCTCCGCGCCGGGGACGGTCGCCGAGCGCGTGGCCAGGACGCGGGGACGCGCAGCGCGGCCTCGAGCGCTACCCCGGGCCTCGCAACTGCGCCCAGAGGAGCTACAAATCCGACGCCGCAGTCTGGGGGGTCTGGGCTGGTCGCACCGACACCCTACCTGGTTGTTACAGGCTTTGTGCTACTGCTTCAATGTGGCTTTGGCCAGCTGCACCCCCAGGGCCCCACCCGGGTGTCCCCAAGCCTCCTGCTGCTACCTGGTGGCTTTGGGTAGATGTATCCCTAGGACCCCACTAGAGTATCCCCAAAGCCTCCTGGTTCTTCAATGTGGCTTTGGGCATGTGTACCCCGAGGACCCTGCTTGGGTATCTTGGAGCCTCCTGCATCTAGTACAGGTAGTTTTGACCAGGTGCCTCCCAGGGTTCTTGGAAGCCTGTTGAGAGTGATTGACTAGTTCTGTGTCTGGTATCAACCAGGTCTCCCCTTTTCCCAGGTCTGTCTGTCCAAACCCTGATGGATAGCTCTTAGGTTCCCAGGGCAGCATCCTCCCAACACCCCCTACCCCCATCATCCCTTGTCTTATTCCTAGGTTTGAGGCTCGCCCTCTGGAGGGTTCATCTCCCAGTACTTGAGGCCTGCCGCCACCTTCCCAGGCCAGGCATGGAGTCAGCTCCTGCTTTTTGAGAAAAGGAAGCTTGGGTGGGCCCTTTGAAGGGGCACCTGGTCTGGTGTAAGTCACACTGCCATTGCAAAGGTGGTGGAGTGGTATCTGGACCATGCATAGGCATTCCGGGTGAAGTGAGAGTTGGTACAGTTTCTTCGAGTCTCCCTGCACACTGCCCCTCTGGGTAGTGACAGTGGCTTTCTTCAGAATTCAGTTTGACCAGGCTACGTGGCTCAAGCTTTTAATCCTAGCACTAAGGAGGGGCAAGTGGAGTTCAGGCCAGCCTGGTCTACATAAAGGATTCCAGGACAGCTAGGGTGACACCAGGAAACCCTGTCTAGAAAAAAGAAAACAAAGCAAAACAACAACAGAGCAAAGCAGGCTGAAGGGAGAGTGGTGTCTGCAGTGGGCGTCTCCCTGATTGTGATTTCTGCTTCTCTGTCTGCTGAGCTTCATCCCTGCGCCCCCCCCCCCCCCAGCTCTGCCTGGACCTTTCCTGTTCTCAGTATCAAGGATGAGCCTGGACTGGGGGCTGTGCAGTTCCATCAATTCTGGGAACTGAAGCGTGGGTCTCGGGTCTCTTTGCTAGGAGATGGCCTGGCCCAGGTGCACGCCTTGCCGTCGCTTCTTCTTACTGGGGCCAGCACAGTTCCAGGTGCTGGCCCCGTGACTTTGACACGGAGGACCCTGACCTCTAGTGCCACTGTGCCTGGCAAGGGCCCTCCTGTAAGTCCCAATGACCTAGCATGGTCTTTGTTCTTACAGGGTTTGAGGGCAGCCAGGGGTGACAAGTGCTTAGACAGTGGCACGGGTGATTTTTATACGAGCAGCTAGCATGGTAAAGGGAGCTGGGGCAGGTCTACGTTCCAGGGTAGGCCACCCAGGAGAGGACCTGTCCTGTTCACAGCTGTAGTGACAGCTGCTGCTCTAGACACCTAAGTTGGTTGCTGTAGACTCCCACTTCTAGCGATGGCACCTTCACAGACCCTGGGCTGCCCTGTGCCATCAGCTGTCCAGTGTGCTGCCCACTCCAGACAAGTGAGCAGCACCCCGGTCTCCAATACAGAGGCCCTCAGCCTTCCTGACGCTGTGACCCTTTACTACAGTTCCTCGTGTGTAGTAACCCCAACCATAAAATTATTTTCATTGCTTCCTCATAACTGTTTGCTATTGTTAGGAATTGTAATCCAAATCTCTAACACTCAGTGTCTGATGTACCCTGAGAAAGGGCCGCTCAGCTCCCAGGGGTTATCCCGACCCACAGGGTGAGAACTGCTGCTCTGATGGGCAGTTTGTCTGTCGGTGCCTGTGGGGCTGTGACGGATAGTTTGCTTGGTTGGGAACGTATCAGTAGGGAGCAGATGAGTTGGCTAGAGCCAGGGGCTGTGGGCAGTGCGTGCCCAGACTTGATCCTCTTCAGGGTGTGTTGGTGGAGGCCATGTGACGTACAGGTGCAGACATGGGCTTTCCGTGTGCAGACACCTGCAGCCCGGCTCCTCATTTTACCTGCTCACAGCCTCATGGGTCAAAGGAAGTAGACGAGGGGACCAGTGCCTGCTGCATGACGTGGAGCCCTGCCTGGGTTCTGGGCAGAACCACTCCTACAGACAGAGCCCCAGGCATGGTGGGTGTGGTGGGAGACAGCATGGCCATGCACTGGGTAAGGTGCTGCATGGGCTTGTGAGACAGGTAGTGGCTGGCTGCATCTTCTGGAGATGTGGAACACACATGTGCCCAAGGATGATGCTTCTACACTAGGAGCCATGGGCAGGGAACTGGGCCTGTGGCTCCATGCCTCACGCCCTGTCAGTTCTGAAGAGCAGTCTGCAGGCCAGTGTAGGAGAGGTGGTGGTGGTCAGACTTTGGCCACCCAGCTCTGATGAGGCTGCCCTGGGTCTGCTGACTGTCTCAGGTCAGCTGAGTCGTGCTGGCTGGCGTCACCCCTTCACATGTTCGTGGCGGTGCGTCCATCTGTGGAGGTGTGTCACCCTCCCTGCCCGCGCTACTCTTGTCTGACAGCTTGCAAGCTGCTTTTGGCTGGGGCAGGACGTAGTGTGGGATGTGTTGTGTGAAGCCCAGTGGTCAGGCCTGGGGCCGTGCTTGTCTGGGATCCATTCTGTCAATGCAAGGCCCATGGTCTTGGCTGCCCGCCTGCACCACCACCTTAGCACTTGCCAGCCGTGGCCTTGGGAAGCACGCTCCGCACTTGTTGGGACCTCCCGTGTGTGGTGGTGTCCCCAGAGGTGACTCAGCCTCTGGGTCCATGGGTTCTGGCACCAGAACCACAAATGCGGCTTGCAGTTGGTCTCAGGGAAGATTTTCCTCCTGCTGGGCCTATACGAGTCCATGTCCACCCTTGTGTGTCTGAAGAAGGAACTGTAGGCCCTGCCCTGTCCTTGTGGAATGTACACTGTGTCTGCTATTCACCAGGATTGGGAGGTCACTGGAGGAATCCAGACTTGGGGAGACCTGGCAGGGTGCTAGAGTTGCTAAGGCTGTGAGAGGGGCAGCTGTCCTTGTAGCCTATGCCCCTCTGACGCGGGCTAGCCAGAGCTGCCGTATGTGGCTTAGGATGGATAGCCATACTGACCCCTGCCTTCCCCGCAGGATTACATCTGCCCAAGGTGCGAGTCTGGCTTCATTGAGGAGCTTCCAGAAGAGACCAGGTAGTGATTAGGGTTGGGGGGGCTACCGTAACCTTGGCATTCTCTGACCTGAGGACCTAGGAGAGACTTGAGCTGCAGTTGACAGGCTCTCTCTCCCCAGGAACACAGAAAATGGCTCTGCCCCCTCCACAGCCTCCACCGACCAGAACCGGCAGCCATTTGAGGTGAGTCAGGGTCCCTAGTCCCCAGGTCCTCCCCTACCCCATACTTGATGGTGCTCTTCCTAGCCCTGACAGTTGTCTCCCATTCCTTCCCCCTTCGTTGTCGTGGTATATGGCGGCCTCACTGCATCTTCCCCGCAGAGTGTGGACCAGCACCTGTTCACGCTGCCGCAGGGGTACAGCCAGTTTGCTTTCGGCATCTTCGACGATAGCTTTGAGATTCCCACGTTTCCTCCTGGGGCACAGGCCGATGATGGCAGGGACCCCGAGAGCCGACGGGAGAGAGAGCACCAGTCTCGACATCGGTACGGAGCCCGGCAGCCCCGGGCTCGCCTTACTGCCCGGCGGGCCACTGGCCGGCATGAAGGTGTCCCCACGCTGGAAGGGTGAGTGGACGGGGTAGCTGGTGAGGGCCTCATGACCACAGTGGGGCCTAGAAACATGGGGGGCAAGCACACTCCACTGACCTGAGTCTCCAGGCTTCTATAAGGAAGTCATCTGGTCACCTCTCTCCTTAGACAGGACCCAGGGAGTCTGGGTCACCCACAGGACCTGAGCAGTGCATCCCCAATCCCCTGTGGAAGAGGAGTAGGCTGGGGTCCAGGTCCTTGGGGCCATGCCCCATGGCTACTGGCTATCAGGAGTGCCTATAAAACGGTTTGCACCATTGACTCCCTGCCATTGGGTAGGAGGGTGCTTACCTGTCATCCCAGTACTTGAGTGGTGGAGACAGAAAGACCATGCAGTCCAAGACTGGCTGCTCTGTCTCGTGAGGTGGTGGTCCTGACTGTTGTGAGCCCCTGTGACACCATCTCTCCCACAGGATCATCCAGCAACTTGTGAATGGTATCATCTCCCCGGCCGCTGTACCCAGCCTGGGCCTTGGTCCCTGGTGAGTAGGGGACGGGTGCCTGGCCCCTCACACCCTGCGCCCCCTGACCCGGCCTCTCCCCCCCAGGGGCGTCCTGCACTCGAACCCAATGGACTACGCCTGGGGGGCCAACGGCCTGGACACCATCATCACACAGGTACAACCGGCCACACTCAGAATCTGGGGGGTCAGGAAGTCGGCCGGCCAGCCTGGTGAGGCACATGGGTGCAGGCTCTGTAGTACCAGAGGCCCCTGCATCCCGCCCTCTGGTGTCAATTCAGTGACCAGTCCCTTTCTCCCCTCTCTTGAAGAATGCCTGCTGTCCTAGGAAGGACAGTGGCCTGTACTAAGTCTGTATACCTCAGACAACTCTGAGGTTTAAGGGCCTGGTGTGTCCTGCTGGTTTGCAGCCTTGCAGATCTGGGCAGGTGGAGACTCCTCGATCTCCCCCCCCCACACTGCCCTGTTGGGAACCCTGTCCCCCTCAGGTCACTGCTTCTTCTTGTCTTTCAGCTCCTCAATCAATTTGAGAACACAGGCCCCCCACCCGCAGACAAGGAGAAGATTCAGGCCCTCCCCACAGTCCCCGTCACAGAGGAACACGTGGGTATGCTCACAGGATGGTGGCCAGAGTCCCTGGGTACCTCCCCTGCCACAGCATGCCTCTCACCGACCTGCTTCCTCTGCAGGCTCAGGGCTGGAGTGCCCCGTGTGCAAAGACGACTACGCACTGGGCGAGGTCGTGCGGCAGTTGCCCTGCAACCACCTGTTCCATGACAGCTGCATTGTGCCCTGGCTAGAGCAGGTGACTGCCCTACACTCTGAGGCGGCCCACAAAACCAGACACAGCTCTGACCTTAACCCTAGTCTGCTTGCCTGCCAACCAGAACCCTGTGCTCATCCTGACTGCAGCCCTAACACTAGCCATAGCCTTCTCGCTGTACTTCCTTCTGAGCCTGCCTCCCGCTGTGACCCTAAGGCTGACTTCAGGCTAGCCCTGGCTTTACTCTGCCCCACCCAGATCCAGAAACAGTTCCCGGGTAGAGTATGTGCAAGCAGTAAGCGTTGGCTTTCGGTGCTGACCCTGACTTTGTTGCTGTGCCTGTCTGCTACCTTCCCTGGGCCCTGACTTTGTCCCTAATACAGACTCTGATTGTGAGCCAGACTGATCATGAACCTGATGTTAACCTTGGCCCTGACCCCAGGCCCTGCTCCTCCTCCTCTTAACTCCTTCCTCCTCTGTCCTCTCAAGCATGACAGCTGCCCAGTCTGCCGCAAGAGCCTCACTGGACAGAACACGGCCACCAATCCCCCAGGCCTGACTGGGGTGGGCTTCTCGTCATCCTCGTCCTCATCCTCGTCCAGCTCGCCCAGCAACGAGAACGCCACAAGCAACTCCTGAGTCCCACCTGGCCACCCACTCCCGGGGCTCAGTCATCCCACCCGCCCCAGGTGCCCTAGCACCGCCATGACCATGGACTAGAGGTGCTGTCCCGTGGTGGCCAGCAGCACCTGGCGGGCCCCAGGCTGCGACAGGCGTGGACTTGGCTGTGGCCGCTCCTGTTTGGAGGCACGCACCTGTGCCCCATGTCCCCAGCAGGCGCCTTCAGTCCGTCTTTAACCTCACCCTCCAAATGTTCAACGGCAGAAGGGTTTTTATGATTTTAAATTATTACTGCTTTGAAATAAATGGACATTTGAGCCACGTGCGGCCATGCATGATCTGTGGAGAGTCGGCAGGACTGTCGCCAGGCCCAGCCCACCACATGCCCTGGGAGGCTGGGCCCAGCACCGGCCAGCACCGACCTCGGGACCACAAGGGTGACCAGCAGACCCAGGAACAAACTGCTCCAGCAGACTTTTTTTTTTTTTTAAAGGGAAATGTGTGTTATCTGGAAAGCTATTTAAAATACACCTCCTCAAAAAGCAGAGCCCATGGCTTGGCGTCTTCCTTCAGCCAGGGTATCCATGACTGCCCAATGGGGCAGCTCACAGGGTGGGTTTGTGCTTCTGGCCAAGGCCAGAAGGTACCCAGGTTTTGGCAGTGTTCAGCAGAAGGCATTTTGAACTCCTGCCTTCAGGGCCGCTTGGAGGGGAAGCCGTCTGTTGCCAGCCCTGCGTGTGGGTGACCACGTGGTAGGGCCTATGACCAGGGATCTGTCTCGTCCACACGCCACTTTCCTGGACTCGCAGCATCGATAAGCTCACCTAATGCCACGCCAGCATTGCTGTGGGTGAGCAGGCCCCCAGCTCTGCTCCTGAGATTCCGTGAAGAGCCCAGAGCAGTCGCTGATGTCGGCACTGGTACGAACTGTCCACCCTGTCCTCCAGCCCTGGTGCTGCGGTGCTGTCAGCCGACTGGCCATTCTTTGGTTGCCTTCTACTCTACCGTCTGGAGCACAAGTCTTGGCTTCCTCAGGTTGGTGCTTAAACGACAAAGTGCCAGCCACATCCCACCTGGCAGCCTGGTAGCAGAAAAGATCCCAGCCATGGGTACCATGCAAACTGCCATTCCCTGCAGGTGCTGGCACTGTACCCTTGGCCATCCCTGTTAGCATGGTGCTTGCATCCTACCTCTGACGAGCAAACATGCTCACTAAGGCTTAAGACATTTATTGATGGTTCTGGGACAGAAGCTGACACTGGTGTCCTCAGTCTCTCCCAGGGACTTGAGGGAAGACAGGCAGTGAACCCATCTAGTGTCCAGAGGCCCCACGTCAGCCCTGCATAGTGGCGCATGCCTTTAATTGCTGCAGAGGTGTCGGAGCCATGGGCAGGGAACTGGGCCTGTGGCTCCATGCCTCACGCCCTGTCAGTTCTGAAGAGCAGTCTGCAGGCCAGTGACACTAGCCAGAGGCAGGCAGATCTCTGTGAGTTTGAGGCCAGCCTGGTCTACAGAGCAAGTTCCAGGACAGCCAGGGATATGTAGAGACTCTGTCTCAAAAAAAAAAAAAAGTGTGTGTGTGTTGAGTGTGTGATCTTAGGCATGTGGAAGCAGGGTACATGCACATGAGTGCAGGTACCTGCAGAGGTCAGAAAAGAGTCGGGTCCTCTGGAGTGGGGCATACAGGTGATTGTGAGCGACCTTGTCTGGGAGAACTAAGCTTAGTCCCCCTGGAAGAGCAAGAAAATGCTCTTAGCATCTGGCCCCTACTCTGACCACATGGGACGATAGGTGTGCCTTGCTGTTACCACCAACCTGGGCCATTCCCTCTACAGCCTGTCCACCTGGTGTGTCCCCACCTCCAAACTAGATATGTGGAAACTGCCAGTTTTGTGTATCCACTGAGAGTTGGCCTGCCCTATAGGGACCCTGCCATATCTCCATGCCTGGCAGCCAGCAGACACCCGTGTAGGTCCAGGATCTCTGGCCTGGGCCCTTCCTGCCCAACTTCAGATCTTCCAGCCTCCTCTGCTATGCATGCTTCCTTAACCAGCAAGCCCTTCAAGATGAGACCAGCACTGGCAGGAAGTGTGTGGACAGTTGGTGCCGCCGTGTCTGTCCACCTTGCCGGGGAATGCCCTGGCTGTCTAGTGCCAGGAACATAGGGCGGCCGTGGTGCCGCCAGCGTCGTGAGGCGTATGTGTTGTAGCCGTTCTCCTCAATGCGTTCTCGGAACCTACAGTCCACAGAGTAGACCCGCTGCAGTGCGGGCATGTGAGGCTGGCTGGCTGCCCCACCAACCATCACCACCCGCTGGGTACTGCCCATCACTCACCGACCCGTAGAGGCGGCCTCTGCGATTCATGGCCACGTAGAAGCCTGAGTACACAGCCTTGATCACCACGGTGCCCACATGGACAGAGCGGATCTCAACAATACCTAGGAGATTGGGTAGAACAGTGAAGCAGTAGCTACACTAGGCTTCCCAAGTCCCATCACCACTGTCTCCAACCCCAGCTCGCGTGGACCCTAAAGGCCAGGACTCCACCCTGGATGAAGGAGTCTGTCCACAGCCACCAGGAGCTAACCAGAAGAGACTTCGGGAGCCTTGGACACCAGCTGCCTACACAACCCTGGGTCAGGTGCCAACTGTACCCATTTCCAGAACAGAAACTGAGGGCCAGGCTTGAAAGAACTAGCCTTGGACCTCTCTGTCTGTTCAGTCCTGTGAATGGCCCTGGCAAGCCCTACCAGTCTGATCTGCAGCTTCCTCCAGGAACCCATTCAGGGAGATGAGCCCACCACAGGCCTCTAGAAGCTTGAGGGCCCATGCTAAGGACATCAGCCACATCACTCTGTTCCTGTCCCTTAGGGAATGAGTGTACTTGCTCCACCCCAGGGAAAACAATGGGCCGTCTTGGTTAACATTGTATCCTCTTGGCCAGCACCACATAGTAACTCACAATTCATCACCTACCACCCCTATAGACAGGATCTAAATCTCAGAAGAACTAAAAGGCCCAGGTCACTCAGCTGGGCCTCTTCCCCAGCCTGGGGCCACCCCACCTGACTGTGCTGCCACGGATGGACCTGCCCAGCCAGTCCCCTGTCATAGCCCTCGTCCTGTGTGGCCTAATGAGGGCCTTGGAACCCAGATGAAAGCCACTGGGATGGGCAGTGCTGTGTCACCTGCCCAGGGCTGAGCTCAAACCCTCCCAGGAACTCCTACCAGACTTTAGCACCAGGGGAGCTAGCTATGGCCTCCCCATCACCGCCAGCTTCCTCCTCAACCGTGGCCTTTCCTCTTCCTACATAGATGCCACAAACACTTATCGAAGGCCTTTCGTATGCAAGGCAGGGTTCCCTGCGGACCCAGCTCCATTTCTTGTGCAGGACCTTGAGATCAGGGCATCCATCTTACCTCATTTGCCAAAGAGGGGTGTCTGGGAACAGAGCGAGCCCCAATTCAGGCAGGTCTCAATTCCAGGAGCGGGATTCCTGTCTTATGATCCCACTGGGCATGCACAGTTCCTATGGGCAGTCTCAGTTTGGCCCTGTACATAGCCCAGGCGCTGGCCTTTGCCTCGCCCGGGAGCCCACAGGAGGTGTGCCCATCTCACCCTGCCTCCCCATCACTCACTGTCCTGGCCATGCCGCCAGCGCGTCCCCTCCACCCGGCCACCGGGGTCCACTCGCAGGAAGAAGTGGGTGGAGGAGAAGAGGCGTCGCCAGCGCACGTCGCCCTCCAGATGCGGGTACCCGCCCGGGGCACCCGGTGCCCGAGCCAGCAGCAGCCAGGCCAGGCCCAGCCAGAGGCGGCGGCGCATCCCGACCTGTGCCCGCCCGCGCGCGGTGGCCCAGCTGCACGGTCAGGGGCGGGGCTAGGTTCGCGGTTGTCCAATGGGCGCGGGAGGGGGCGGGGACACCGACCTAGGCAACACACAAACTCACTGGAGTGTGTCCTGCAGGCCGGTCGCTGTCACTCCGGGATGCAGATGCGGGAGTGGAGAGGGAGACACAAGAACAAGCTCGCAGAGGAACAGAAATTGAAGACAGAGGGACTGGTTATGGAGAGAAACAAACCAGAGACAGGAGAAAGGAATCACAAAGAAACGGACAAAAGACAGTGCTAGGAGACAAAGACTGTATAAAAGATGGGCACGTGACAATGAAGTAAACCAGAAGATGTCAGAAGGTGTCAATCTGGCCAGCTGGGCTGAGCGTGCACAGGATATCCCAGAGATTCTGAGGCTCCCCGTCCGGAGGGGCTGGGCCATGGAAGAACGGGCAGGGAAGGGATGGGATGAATGGAGGGCAGCGTGGCAGATGTGGGAACCTCTGTTTGAGCAGGAGAGACAGACAGGTATGTCACCACCATCTTAGGGGCATTGAGAACAAGAGGACAGCGTCTGGGTAGCAGAATTAGGGTGGTGCGTCCACCCTCACACCTGCTCCTCATTGCAGCCACACCCATTCCCAGGAGACACCCATGGCATCCATGGTCACCCACATCTTCTTCCCAGTAGCCAGTGTCTCTGACGGTGGGTGCAATGACCTTCAGATGCAGCCTAGAGTCACTGGTGTTGGGGAACCTTGAACCTCAATGCCAGTTCCCTCCCCCTAGCCACAGGCAGCACCTTTAAATAGCACCAGGGTGAGGTTCACTGACAAGTTTGCCTTTTGGGGAGTCCTCTGGAAAGACAACCAGTCCTTCAGGATGCCAGGATTTCTTCTTGGTGGCTCAGTAGATCCCGTCTCTTCCTGGACCTGGGCAGGTCACACTGTGGGGTGATGCCTGGGCTCATCAGAGGCTCTCACTGCACACATATGGCACAAGGCCCCATGACCCCTTCCTGATCACCTACACCTGTGTGCTGTGTGCTTTCCCTGTGAGGCAGGTTGGCGAGGGGGTGTCTGTCTGGGAGGTACACTGAGAAAGTCTAGACAATGCTGGGCAAGCAATGGAGCACACAGCTCCAAATGCCACGTGTGACTTTTGTTCCGTGACTGAAATTCTAAGCTCCCCTTCTGGGATGAACACCTCGCAGCCCCTAGACACGCCCTTGGACATTTTTAGATTCCCTCTGTGAGAGACTGAGACGCACGCCTGGGAGGTGTCTGACTTGGTTTAAATTAAAAATAGCTCATTGAGATGTAATTTGCATACCACATAAATCACTCATTTAAAGTATAACTTGATTACTAGTGCATGAGCTGGGGCAGCTCCCACCTGTCAACTCCAGAGTGTTTTGCCGTCCCCACTAGAGTCACCTGACTTTACTGGCCTTCAGTACTCCAAGTCTGTTTCCTATCTCTGGGATCTCCTGTTCTGGCCATTTCCTGTCATGGAGACCCGCACTGTATGGCCTTTAGGGTCTGGTTCTCTCACTGAATACCTTCCGGCTGTGTCATGTGTGGGAGCCTCACTCCTGTTCATGGCCCAGTAACATTCCAAGACAGTGATGGCCAGTGTGTCACATGCCTGTTGAGACCGGGTTATCTTTGCCTTCCAGGTACTGTGAGTATTTTAGCTTTGGTGTGGATGTGGGTCTTTATTTCTTTTGGTCACATACTTAGGAGGGGGATCTTTGGGTCATGTGGTAACTGTATTTAATTAATTTTGTTTGTTGTCTCAGTCTGGCTTTTAACTCAAAATGCTTCTCCTTCAGCCTCCTTGAGTGCTGGGATGTTGGAACACACCTCTCGCAGCCTGTCCTTCTTCTCTTTTCCCAAAACAGAGTGTCTCCGTGGCCCTGGCTGTCCTGGAGCTCACTCCAGACCAGGCTGGCCTGGAACTCACAGATCCACCTGCATCTGCCTCGCAAGTGCTGGGCTTAAAGGCTGTGCCACCATCGCCCAGCTCTTTCTTGGTTTTTCAATGTTGGATTGCCTTTTATCTGTCTAAGAGGGGATGGTACACATGCCACAGCTCAAACACAGAGGCCAGAAGAAAGAGAATCTCCTGGAATCACTTCTTTACTTCTGCCGTGGGGCCAGAGGGTCAGGGCGGAATCTCACTCTAGAGTCCGCTCGGGTTAGCTTTGAACTCAGCCTGCGGAGTACTCTGAGCACTAGGATGACAGGCAGGAGCCGACACTCTTGGCCGAAAACTTGGAGGAATCTTTTCTTGGAGGGTACTAGGGACTGAACCCAGGTCTTTTCCACATGCTAGACTCTATCCCTAAGACCTTCACCCCTGGCCACACCCCCAGCCCCTCAATGGGGAATTCTAGGCAGAGGTTCTAGCTATGAGCTACAGCCCCAAACCTGTTTGTAGTTTATTTATTAACACAAGATCTCAATAAGCTGCGAGGCTATCCTCAAACTCTCCATCTTCCTGAATATCTGAGATCAGGCCATACTTCAAAATTCTTAGGTTTCATAAGAAAATCTGACCTCAACTTCAGAATAGTAACTCTCCTATCCATTAACATGTTGATGGGTGATTATCGTGGAAAGAGACAGGACAACCTATATCACTGGCCATAAATCAGTTTGGGGGTGTGTGAGGTAAACATGGGGTGGGGTGGGGACTAAGGCTGTTGACTCAGAGCCCTTGCCCAGAATCCCTCAGTGAGGGTCGTGGTCAGGGTGGAGCCCCGCCTAGAATCTCCCAGTGAGGAACTTGGGTGGGGCTCAGCAGGAGTACTCTTCTCTAGAATCTGTTGACTAAGAACCAACTGAAAACTCTGATGTGGAAAGTCTGGTGCTTCAGCAAGTCAGAGAGGAACCTGAATAATAAGGGACGGGGAAGAATCTGAGTCCCCGAGTCTTCCAGCCCACAAAGATGTGAGTAGCTGTGGGCGTCTTGGGGTTACAGGTCCTGCTGCTTCATCCCTGGGGACCAGGAAGGTGACCCCAGAAGAAGTCAGGATTGAGGTCATCATGCTCTGGGTACCCTGGGGAATGAGCTGAGCTACAACCGGGAGGGCAATACTCAGTGGTAAAATTATTGTTAGCTTGGGTACCGTGGGACATGTAGTAGAGGAGGGGCCATGGGTTTTGTTCTCAACTTGAGGGCAGGTGGCAACTTCAGTTTAAGCAGAGGAAATCTGTTGAGTCCCTACCCTGGAGGCCTCTCCAGTGGCCCAGACACTCTGCTCATGCCTTAGGGCCTTGGCATTGGCTGGCATTCCTCCCTTTCATCCCTCTTGTCACAGCTCAGGGTGATCCTCTGAGCCTTCAGTGGGCATGCTTCTAGATTTGACTGCATGCCACACCTAAGCGGATTGATTACCTGGTGGCTACAACCAAAGGGATGGAGAAGCTGGGGGGGTTGTCACTTCTGTGTCTAGCTCACTCATTGCCCTTTGAGACAGGGTTTCTCTGTCTAGCCTCCGTGGCTGCCCTGGAACTCCTCTTGCTCAGATCCTGTCTGTGGATAAACTGAGGCTAGGATAGGGGGAATATGAGACCTGGTTTTTTTTTTTTTTTTTTTTTTTTTTTTGGTTTTTCGAGACAGGGTTTCTCTGTGGCTTTGGAGCCTGTCCTGGAACTAGCTCTGTAGACCAGGCTGGTCTCGAACTCGCAGAGATCCGCCTGCCTCTGCCTCCCGAGTGGGTTTTCTCACATAGGTCTGAGATCCATTCTTTGCACATTCGGGCCCCTTGATGGATGTCTCTGCATAAAGGCTGAGAAGAAGATTCAATCTCTGTTCCTCTCCCTTTCTCTGAATAATTAATTTATTTTTATGCACATTGGTTTTTACCCGTATTTATCTCTGTGAGGATGTCAGGTTCCCTGAAACTGGAGTTACAGTCAGTTGTGAGCTGCCATGGGGGTGCTGGGAAATGAAGCGGAGTCCCCTGGAAGAGCAGCCAGTGTTCCAACCACCGATCCACCTCTCTAGCACCAAAGAGACTTCTTTCTTTCTTTCTTTTGGCTTTTCAAGACAAGATTTCTCTGTGTAGCCCTGGCTGCCCTGGAACTTGCTCTGTAGTCTAGGATGACTCAAACTCAAGAGATCCGCCTGCCTCTGTCCCCCAAGTGCTGGATTAAAGGCGTGTGCAACCACCTTCTCTTCCTTTTCCTCTCTTTTGGTGCGTCTGTCTGTCTGTCTCATTGAGACAGAGTTTTATTGTGCCCCAGGCTATTGCTTTTAATTTTAATCCTCCTGCCTCCACCTCCAGAGGCTGGGGTTAAAACCACCGCACTACGACTTCCTCTCCCTGATGAGCTCTGAACAGCAGTAGAGAGTGGGGAGGGGGAAATGACCTCCTGTCATCTCAGGAGTTTATTGTGCTTTAGAATCACTTCCAGACCAGCCTGGAAAATTTAGCAAGACTCTGTCTCTAAAATGCTGGGGCTTGATGGTGTATACCTGTCATCCCAACACTCCTAAATCTTAAATTAGAGGCAGGAGGTTCAGATATTCAAGGTCATCTTTGATTACATAGGAAATTTGAAGCAAATCTGTGGTGCATGAGAAAAAATAGACAGGGTTGGGGGTCCAGGGAATTGGGGTCAGCTGTGGCTCAGAGGGGGAGCGCTTGCCTGGTGTGCGCAGAGCAGCACCAACACCAGATGAATCAGGCCTGCTGCATCACCCCAGCTCTGGGTCAGGAGCTCCATGGGGCTGTGAGTGAATGAATGAACCATGAGTGAACAGGGATGTGGGACTATTTACGCTTCTTTTTCATCTTTAAGGCTGTGGATTTCATTTGCATACACACACACACACACACGGAAACAAAAAAATAGGAGATTGTGCATGGTTGTGCACGGTAAAATTCCATCACTGGGGAGGCAGAACAGGCAGGTCTCTTTGAGTTCAAGGCCAGCCTGCACTAAATGTAACGCATTCCAGGAAGTCATGTTTACATAGCGAGGCTCTGTGTAATATATATATATATAT